ATCAAATGAAAGGTTTTAGGGAGCAGAGGAAGGGAACTGTGGTGATACAAAAAGGTAACTTCATTCTGCTCCATAGAACAAGACTACTATTGTTTCTTTTTCTTTCTATGAATGTATTCATGTCCTTCCTTTCTTCTTTTTTATGCCAAATTTGATAATTCCATTCAGCATTTCATTTTAGATTTCTTCCATCTCTTCCCTTATTTTGTTTTTCCTCTACTGTGGTCTCTCTATGTCCTCTCTTATGCTAGTGTTTTTTATTCATAACAATAGCTGACTTTTATTGACGTTTACCAATTGACAATGGGCTAGGTATTTCAACTCACTGAATCTATACAGAAATCTTATAATCCATATTTTCAGAGAGAGAAATTGAGGCTCTGAGGTGTCAAGTGACCTTTTTTTAAGTCACACAGATTCTAAATTTTAGAGTTAGAATTAGATATCATATGTATCTGGGTGTGGAAACAACCTCCAGGCCCATCTTTTTAGATTCTCTTCTGTGATATATATCTGTTATAGAATGTTTAGACAAAACAAGAAAGAAATGTACTTTATAAAAATCTATAATCATCACACCCATAAAGAACAGTGCTAAAACTTTGTCTTTCTTTCTAGTACTTTTAATGCATAGTAAACAGAAAATTTTAGCACTTACTATGATTTGGTGATAGGTTCAATAAATTAACATCCTTAAAAAGGTATAAAATGATGAATCTTAAAAGCAAAACATATTTGGGCCAGGGATTTTAGCTCAGTGGTTCCGGTGCCTGCTTTGCAAGTGCAGGGATTCGAGTTCAATCCCTGGTACCAAAAAAAAAACAAAAAACAAAAAATAAAAAACAAACAAAAAAAGCAAAATATATTTTGATATCTGTAGAAAAAAAACAGACTTCAAATACCTTAAAATGATATCTATAGAGTAAAACAAACCATTAACTATTATTTGGCTTTTCAGCAATGGTATATCCTGTTAGAGAATACTTAATTGTTAAATAAAACATTTCAATTTGACCCTACAGATGTATACTAACGATGAAATGTCCTTTCTGTTTCTAGTATACAGTATTTTCTTTTAGGAAGTGCACCAGAATTTCAAAAAGGCTTCTAGGGAAAGATTTTTTTAAATCTCCTTAACAGTTTAGTTCCACAAGATGAAATTGCTTCTGATTACTATTTTAGACTTACATCTGAAAGAGCAAGCACTAAATCAAACCACCAATTTAATGATATTGATAGAGTGGGAAGAAAGTCTTATGTAAATAACTTTCTAATACAATGGCTTGGAAATATAATAAAACCTATACTTTATGCTGGGACAAAATATTCCTTGAGCTTGAAGTTAATGGTATATTTCTAAGCTCCAAAGTGAACACAAGTGGTGACTTTACTCACAAAGGTTATCTATTAGTAGAAAGAGCAAATTAATTTTAAAGAGCTGTGACCCTCCAGCTAAATTCTATTTCAGGCAACTGGGAGGAAGGGAAGTTGAATGCCCTACTTTGGCTTTGACTTTCTCTCCTTTTCACTTTAGACTTTGAATGTAAACTCCTCCCCCTCCTCAGTTTTTAAAAATGTAATACAATCAACTCTGAGTATCTTTGCATCAAAGCAAAATGAGGTTGAAGTCATGAACCTATCTTCACCAACACTGTAACCTCCATGGTAAAATTATAGTATATACATAAACAGGGATTGATGCTTCATAAATTGACATGAGAACAAATAAGGGAAGTGACTATAAACTCCTGCTGCACAGAGCAGGTGCCCTAAGAGTTTAAAATTCCATCCTGTTTACTTTCCAACAAATCCATGAGCACATCTTTGTCTCCTTTATCTGTAACTTTGTGTGTGTGTGTGTGTGTGTGTGTGTGTGTGTATGTATGTATGTGGTACCAGGGATTGAACTCAGGACCTTGTGCTTGTGAGCAGGCAGCAGAACCACTGAGCCACATCCCCAAGTCTTGACTCATTTATTGATAGCTTCATACCTACAGTGTGTTATAGTTTATACAGTTGATGTATTTCTCCACATTAGCTCTGTGGTTCCACATCCTCCCAATCATAACAATGCTGCTTCTCTTCATATGGGAAACTGAGGTCCAGACAAATGAGATGACCTGACTCTGTATTCACTGATACAGAATTCAAACTTGAATCCAGACCTCTTGACTGCGCATCCTGTGCTGTATGCAGTGTAGAAAAGCTGCCTACTTCATTTACATATTCAGGAACAGCCATGTGATTTAGGCTGTTTTTCTAACACAATGCAGTCTACTGTATACAAATTTTTTTTTAATTTAGTAGAGTCTGAATCTATACAACCTCAGAATTTTTCTAAAATGTCAGACACTCCCTTCTATGAAAAGCAGTGTTTTAAAATATAATTAGTATTCTGAGCATAGGATAATGGTAAACATTATGATTTTGCATTATCATGAGATGCAAAATTACTCTCTCAAAGGACCAGCTGCTGCAGGGCGGCTGGCACTGTGCTGCCTACGTTCTCAAACTATTTTAATTGGTAGTTTTCTGGGATTTTTTTTTTAGTCAAAGAGGAAATGTATGTGAAACCTATTAAAACCCTACCATCTGTTATGGTAAAATGACATCACTTAGAGAAATGATCCATCCCAGTATTTAGAGGCTGCTCAGTTTTCTCATTGAGTTCAGGGTTCAATAGTTCACCTTCTCACTTAGGGATAGAAAAATTATAGACAGAAAAGGAAGACAGGAAATTGTTCTCATATTTTTATATAACATGTCAAATATGGTCCTATAATTTTGAACTAATATGTTTAACATACATGAAACTGTTCATCACATTAGATATTTGTGGTCCAAAGATGAAGGAATCTAGATTTTGAAATAGAAAGACCTGAGTGTAAATCCAACCTCTGCCCAAATGGTTTATGGCTTTAAATAAAACACAACCACTTGGAATCATTTTCACCCCTGTACTGTTGGGTAGTTTTATTCCACAAAGTTAGAGAGAGAAATGAATAGTTAAACATATATTATAAGTCAATGAGTAATGCTCTGCTACTACTAACAACCATTTATTAGATTCTTACTACATACCAGGGTCTATGTAAAGACTTATAAATACTTCATTAATTTAATCTTCCCCAAAAGCCTTCATACTAGATATTACTATCTTAACAGATTTAAAGATGAGACTGGAGAGGCTTAAAAAGATTTAAAAATTGTCCATAATTACAAATGTAGGAAATAGAGAACTCAGTAATTGAGCTTAGACTTATTCTTTTACTCATTCAGCAATACTTAAGTAATGTATTGGAGCAAAACTAGACACTGTTTGAAAGGAAGGACTGGAAGTAGAGAGTGGTTTTTGGGTAAAAAGCAAACCATGTTCATTTTACCCTGGCCACTGTGGAGAAAATATATTAAAAGATGTAAAGAGATTAGACTGAGTATTGCGAAGCTAGTCCATGTAAGAAATGATGTTGACTTCAACCAGGTTGGTAACTATGAAGTTGACAAATTTAAACTTATCAGGTAGAAGTGAACATGTAATGGTGCCAGGAAAGAGAAGTCAGGCAAGAGCAGCCCCTCACTTTTGACTGTGAGCAACGCCGTAGCCTGAAATGAGGAATGCTGTCATGGATATGCAGAGTAATGAAATCTGTCCAGCCTTAAACGCCATACTCTTAACCATTATTAATATTTACACTAATTATTATCATGCCAATAAGACATCTGAAATCCATGCCACATCACTGTAAGCTACCTGGAAAGGTTTATAGAAAAGTCACATTATCCCTTCTCAGGTAAAAATGAGAAAAAAATAAAGGTTTAACAGAGAACTCACTCAGTTAAGCACTTTGGATAGGATTACATGAATGATTCTTCAAACTCTAATTTGAACTTTAATATTTATAATGTTGTGAGGTGAATTTGAAGGAAAAAATACTGAACATATTTTTCCAGAAAGCTAACAGTGAATTTTAGATGATTCAGTTGTACACATTTTTCTATATTTTTATACCTTTATGATTTATTACTTCTGTAAATTTAGTAAATTATTTGGGAAAAAAAAGCAACTTCTAAATTACACCTGTTGGGAGACTGGACTAAAGAAAATGTGTTCTTTTTATTAATTGGAGTACTACTCAGCCATAAAGAATAAAAAACTAAAGACATTTATAGCTAAATGGATGCACATTGAGGCCATACTCTTAAGTGAAATAAATAGGACACATATGTGTAAATATGGAATAGTTTTTCTAATGTAAAAAACTGAAAGTGTAACTAAGGACTAAAAAGTATAATAGATAATGTGAAAGAGGAAGAGAGTGCAAAGGGGAAGAGAAAGTGCGAGGGGTAGGGGAGAAAAGGGGAGTGGGATTAATATGAGAAAAAGAAAAATTGGAAACAAAATCTTTGTAGGTAGGGTTGGAGGGGTTAAAGGGAGGGCAGGGGAGTGGGGAATAAATAAGAACCAAGATGGATTATGTAAAGGTGCAAATTCCCAATGATGAATGTCATTACACTGTATACCTTAAATGTACCAATAAAATTAATTTTTAAAAATTTTAAAAATAAAGTCATAACTGTTGTCTATATAGTCCATAGTTACAAGTTCAAGAAACCCTCAAATCATATCCTCAAGTCAAACCAATTAAAATCCATAATAAAGTCCAATAATCATGGTGAGTGACAGACATCTTAAACTACATGTACTTCTAATTCTGCATATGTGATGCCATCCCAGCCAAGTGGCCTGGAGTTCAAGTTGGGAATCGACGGGTAGTGTGATGAATGCGACGAAGGATGAGAAAGTGGGGAGTTTAAGGTTTTCTTGATTTTTTTTTTGCAATTTAATTATTATTCCATATTTCACCATTTTAAAGTTTATTATACTCTTTAGTTCCCCAAACTTCAGATGAGATCATCATAAAAATATTCTTTAAGAACTTTAAGAACTCCTCCGAGCTGCTCCCTTTTCCTTTCTTTCAGGGTCAACGATTGTATCTTACGGGTGAATGAGGTCGATGTGTCGGAGGTTTCCCACAGTAAAGCAGTGGAAGCCCTCAAAGAAGCCGGGTCTATTGTTCGGCTCTACGTGCGTAGAAGAAGACCCATTTTGGAGACCGTTGTGGAAATCAAGCTGTTCAAAGGTCCTAAAGGTAATAAAAACATAAAGAAGACAGGAGTGGCCAACTGTTGGGCTAATGTCTGTGCCACAACCCACTTACAGTGCATCTTCCTTTGATATTCAGTGCCTAGCATGTGTCCTAGTCACCTTCTGGTTTCTGAAATGCCACATCTGACACCCCCAGTAATGGTAGATTTATTTTGGCTCACAGTTTATAGAAGTTTCAGTCCGTAGCTAGCTGGCTCCGGAGCGGAAGCACATAGCAGCAGGGGCTGCCGACAAGGAAAGCTGCTCACCTCACAGCGGAGAGGAACCCGAGAGTGAAGGTAGGAAACTGGGAGGAAGACATTTGCTTCCGGGTCACGCTCTTACTGATCCGCCTCTTCCGACCAGGCCCCACCTCCTAATCCCGCGTTTAGCCATTATGTCCCCATCCTACAATCGCCTTTCAAGATTCCCACCTTTGAGGTTCTGAGGCTTTTGGGCCAAAATCAAGATATAAACTGTAACAGCAACAAACTGGAAATTCTGCAATAGTGACTTCTACAAAAGGATTTTTTAAAAAAACATTGAATATGAGCTCAGATAAAAACTTAGATTTGGGTTGGAATGTTTTTATAAATAGTAATAGCAACGGCCACTTCCACTCTTTTAGAATTTTTCAGTTTGTTGGTTTATTATAATTTGGCTAGCACATTAACACTCTCTAATGTTCCAGGTATAAATAGTACATCTTCTCAATTAGCCAAATAATGTAAATAATAAATCTATATATATAACAATTATATTTTTATAACACTTTTGACTTTTGAAATTTCTGTGATACTTTTATGTGTTATACCTAACAAGAAGTACTCATTTTGGAAGAGCCAACTAAGTTAATTTTTTTTTTGTAATGTTCACCAATCTCTAGATGTGTGTGTGGTTATTCTGGGTAATTGCAAAAACAGTGAGAGGAATTACTGTACTATTTTTTTAAGAATAATGCTTTACAAATTCTTTAGAATGACATTTAATATTAGCCTAATGATGTTTCACATAGTGTAGAGAAATCTAATAATTAACCTCAGTATTTGAGCATTTTATATTATAGCTGAATAATTATTAGAGCCTGAGTCTCTTCCCTTTACTTTAAAATCTATTTAATCTTTAATAAAATAAGCATATCACCTTCTTAAGTCGTGGGCAGTTTTAAAGATCTCATGCACAAGAGTCAAAGACTGAGTCTGGAAGCCTGGTTCAGCCATTCACTTGTGGAGATGCCTTGACTGAACCACCCTGTTAAGTGAGGAAAAGAATGGGAAACTGGATAAAGAAGATGTGGTTTTTCTATAAAATGGAATATTAGCCATAAAGAACAAGAAAATAGATTCATTCATAGGAAAATGGATACATATTGAAGATATACTCCTAAGTGAAATAAATAACTCACACCTGTAAATACGGAATAGTTTCTCTGGTGTGAATAAACTGTAATAATACATAAGATCCTAATAAGATTACTGATATTGTGAAATGGAAAGAAAGGGGCTAAAGGTGTAGGGAAGGTGGGATGGGTAGGGGAAGGATAATAAGGGAAAAGGAAAAAATGTGAGAGGATGAAAAGATGGAAATAAAGTGCTTGTAGATGGGGAGGGGAGGAGGGGGTGAAGGGAGGGCAGGGACAAGGGAAGAAAATGAGAACCAAGACTTGTCAGGTAGAGGTACAAGATCCCAACAATGAATGTAACTGCGCTGTGTCCCTAAAATGTACCAATAAACTCAATTAAAGAAAAACAAAAAAGAATGGTGGCATCCGTGCCGTATACTCCACGAGGATGAAGCCGCACCCTCACAGCTGGCCCACAGACAGCAAGCAGAGCCTGGGGTTAGGAGCACAGAGCCTCCAGGGCCAAAGTGTGCAGAATGGAACCCAGGCTTCGCAGCTCACGAGCTGATAAACTTTGGGCAAACATTTAACCTCTGTTTCTTTCAGTTTTCTCATCTACAAAAAGGAAATAAAAATAGTACTTGGCTTGCTCTTAGAAATGTGATGATTAGATGAGTCATTTCACATTAATTATTTAAAATAAATCCAGGCATAAAAAGGCTGCCCAACAAATATTAGCTATGTATACAAATTATTCATAATATTATTTATTACATACAGTTTTAGCCTTTGTAACAGTATGCAGTAATGTCCTGAAAACACTCAGCCATCTCTCATAAGTTAAATTCAAATATATTAAAAATTATAGGAATTTCAAAAAGAGGAAAAAAAAGCATTCTCACACTACAACCTTTAACAGTCTGATAAAAAGACCTTCTACCCTACGCATTTACTAAAATCATTGGCAAGGTGCTTAAAAGCCAAACAAATTGTCCATATATATTATTTCTATTGCAAAGATATGCTATATGTAAATAGTGTGTAACTATTTCTACAATCCAATTAACAGCAATTATTCAGTGTTCCCCTAAGGCAAATACCACTTCTAAATGTGCGGCACAGTGTAACTATCCATCCCTTTGCTTCCTGTTCTGAGTTACCTTGTGACCTCCCGCTGCTCATCAGAGCGCTTAAAACCTACAGGGAAATGATGACCAAAACTCCTCAATTTTCTCAGGAACACATTTATTTTTCATCTTTATTTTTGGCACTAGGGCTCCCTCCAGCTCATTTACTTCAGCCCAAACTGTTTCCTTTGAACCTGGAGTGGGGCAGGAATTGCTTTGCAGCATCATCCAGGGGGAAGTGAAAAATGAACATTAATCAAGCAGGTAAATGAAGGCAGTAGCCCAGAGAGAGTACATGGTGTCTGGAAGATGAGGCTACACACATGTTTGACCTACTGGTCCAAGGAGAACCAGTAAATTATTAAATCACTTTACATCTCGATGCAGCACCGGCCAAATCTGTACTTGGTCTGTTGGGATTCCGCTGAGTCAGTCGTACTTTTTGTGTTGTCGCTGTCCAAAGGTCACTGATGGGGATTTGTTTCTCTGTATAAAGCTTAATGATTTACAAGCAAGAAACTTTTCTAGTCATTATTTGAATTCCTGATGCCTTTCCCAATGGCTTCAATGCAGGAAATACAGAATCAGAGTAAATTAAACAATAAAATTGGATTCCATACTAAATCTGATCCTACTTTGCTCTCTTAACTTCAGTTAGCACCTTCTGATTCTTTATTTTTGAATTACAATATATTTGAAAGTGAAGAGCATCAAGAAACAGCGTACACGTATTGATTTCCCACAACAAATGCATTTATTAGGTACTAATTAAAAGAGGAAATGTACTTGAAAGAAATCTCTACCAAAATTTACCTTATATCTTGGAAACTTACGCATTGTGGAAGATGATGATGAATGAAATGTAATCTCTTTCCTCAAAAAGTCATAATGAGAAAGATATATGTAAAACTATCTTACTTTAATGCAAGGAAGAATAAAATCATCTCTATGATGGCACTTGAACCATGAATTTAATGGAACAAAGAAGATGTGATTCAGTTTAACCAAAAAGAGCAAAAATTCTCCAGAGAATTTAAAGTGTAATAGGTACATAGAAAGTTCTTGTCTACCTTCCTTTGAGCATATGGTACTCTGTAGTAAGCATTAACAATCTAGCCAGTTGAGCTAACTAAATTCAGATATATACATTTACTATAAAGCTACCTAGATATATATTTAGTCTGTCAATAACTGAATAAATATTTGTTGTGTGTCCACTACCTTATTGCAAAGCACAGAACTAGAAAATATGAATTCCGAAAGGAATGAGAGATAGTACTTGCTCTCAAGGAGAAAATAGTCTAATGGAGGAAATACCTATAATATAAACTACGGAAAAAGTTATAAAGTAAGTAAAAGACTGATAAAGGGGATCCAGCTAAATGATGGGTCAAGGGAGACTTCTATAACTACTATGATATAAACTAAGATTTAAAATATAAATTAAAATGAAAATTTAGCCAGATAAAATATTAAGGAGAGTATCTCAGATCAATAGAAAAGCATACTTCTACTAAAGTTCTATTACAGAAAAGATCTTGATACCATCAGGACAATGAATAATATGAAATGAAACAGTGAGGTCAGCTGGGATCAGCTAATATCTAGCTTCATTGACTATATTCATAGAATTTTAGTTATTTTTAAGTGCATTTAGATATTATTGTAAAATTTTAAGCTTGAGAAGGAGATAATCAAATCTATTATTTTTAGAATATCATTCTGGCTACTATGAAGAAAGTGGATTAGAAAAGGCAAGAGAGAAACTACAGATCAGTTAGTAGTTACACAGAAACAGGGTTGAGTAGATTTGAGGATTCTTTGAAACTGTTATTTGTTAGTTTTCTAATTCTGTACCCTGTGATTATTCCATCAGTTGCACAAATTAGTAATTATGGAATAATCTTTGATGTTTGTAATTCTGTCTTTACAGCAGTGCTAATCTTCCCAATACTTAGATAAATCAACTGGTTGATGATTTAGTCGTGTACTTCAGTAATACTTGGATAATATGCAAATGTGATCTAGAAAGTCTTTTCATACAATATGCAAAAACTTTCCCTAACCTTATGGTGAGAAAGTCGATCACTGAAAGCAGCTGGGGTGACTAGGTATGCACAATTTGTTGAGGGGAAATAATGTGCTATCATATACAGAAAGCAATGATTAGGGAAATCCACTTAAGTTAACCATTAGCAACTGAAAATCAGGTAAAGAAAAAAACCAGAAGTTCATATGGGGATTCCCAAGAAATAGTGTTGCAACATAAATTTTTCTTGTAACTTTCTCAAAAATGCTATCATAACTTAGTAAGGAATGTGATTAAATAAATGTCAAACTGTTGGTGTTTGTGGCCTAAGGCAAAGAAAGGTAAAGCTCTATAAATTAGATGGCTTCCTTTAAGATGCTTTAGTTACTTAAGAATCATATAAGTGGCTTGAAGGCTTCGTTCTAAAACTAAAAATTCAGTATCATTACTATCCAGAGGTAGACTTGCTTGTGGTTTATTTTAGTCACTTATTAACAAAA